AACGTTTGAGAATGTATAAAGTCCACTGTCAGATGCCGGGAATCATGACAACTACTATGACAGACGACTTTGGACTAGGTGCGTTCTACATAGTCTCCCTGACCACAAGACCAAGTTGCGACAACGAGGTCAACCTACTTCGAAAAAATATATTGTTTAATAAATCTAGAAGCAACTCCCCAGTTCTAGTACTGAGGCAACTAGCTGATGGACAGCAGATAGACTTAAACGCAAAATCCAGATAATTTTATAATCCCAAAGCCCAAGCACTATGAAAAGTGGTAACGAAGTCGATTGTAATCAAATAGATGACTTTATAGTGTGATAGATAGATATGAGATGGAAAAGGCCTGGGTTGCCTCGAAAGTCACGTCTGCCCTGTGACCAACTGAAACTGTGCCAGTGTGGTGGAGTAGCATTATGTCGAAAATAAACGCTGAACTACCAGTGATCGATGTCCATTGAGGGTGCTAATGAGACCCAGAAGAGGCCAAATCTACAGCCCTTGTCTGAATGAGAGAAACCTTTGAAAAGCAAGGCTGTGAAATTCAATGAAAACGTAAGGCCGACTGATATCATTTTGGGAACATTCAACTACCAATCCTTCCTCACCTTCAAGTCCCGCTGAGGATACTGATGAGACCTAGACGAGGTTAAAGCTGAAGCTGGATGAGTATACCTTTGGGGAGGCAAGGTTATGCGAAACTTCATGGAACTGTAAGACCTACCCATATCATTGTGGGAAAATTCGAATATCAGACCATATTCACCTTAACGAGATAGAATGAATGCATACATAGACTAACTTTATGTCATAAAGAAAAATCAAAGGCCATAACGAGCATTTTCAGATAATAGCAGCATACTGTTCAAGGAAAAGAAAGGACGAGTCAGGTGCTAGTAATGGAAATAATAATGAAGGCTTAGTTTTGAATATGCTCTAAATCGTGGCGGACCTACAATACTTAATAGACAAGACCCATGACTGGAAATGAGGGCTGGATAAAGCACACATACATTCAGTTGCTGATTACTAATTAATGGGTCAACTTACATAGTGAAAGGATTTAGGAGAAACGGATTATCAAACCCCTATAAAAACGGAACAAACGATGAAATTATAATGGAAAGGATAATCTAATCACGTTTTACAGAGAGGTATTGATTACTTAATCCTGGGCTCGACGGTGACTATGCTCAAGTGGATATTCACCTCAAATCTATCAGAAAAAAAGTGGATCCAAGTCTAGGCATAGAGAAGATTATTGAGTAGATGAATAGAATAATGAGGTTAGCTAGGCTTATTCATGTATTAATATATTCATAATCTTCTCCTATGTGCAAATAAGTATTTGAGGCAAACAAGGTATAATTCTATTCCTCTTCCCTACAAAGTCGTATAGTACCCAAGGCTTCACTCCCAAATCTGCCTGTATAAGATCCTCCTCTTCAAAAACCTGAGGAGAACATGAAGGATGGTAGGCAAGTTTTGTTCAGTAAATTAGCTTCATTCATCACTTTAATAAGTAGTTCGATACCATATATTCCCTTCTAAAATAAAGATATGGGATGCGAATAGGATGCTGGAAAAGAACACAACTATCGGCTCCTTGTAAGTTTAGATTACGGACAGAACAATAGATATAATGATCGGCCAAGGCCACTATTGACCCGATAGCTGAGCTGTCTGAAATACAGTGAGAATGAAGAATGAACATGCTAATTATTTACGCAAAGCCTTATCCCTTATAAATTCTTATTAAGGATGAACTAAACAAAGACCTCGACAGCGTTTCATCAAACTACTAAACGGGTGATAAGATAGGTTGGAAGGCCAAACTAAATATTGTTCATGAGCACAATGAAAGGTTATCAGGAGTTGAAATAATGAGCCCTTAATTCGAAAGCGATTAAAGGCAAAAATTGTTTCCATATTAATCTACTGATAAATTTTATCCCAAATGGAAAACAAGCAGATTGGAGTACCTGTTCTAAGGCAGCAATAGCCATAGTAGCTTGCTTTTCCGTGCTGTAGGTAGAAAGTGCTTCTGAGGAGGAGGTAAGTAGGCGACGATAGGAAGAGGCAAAGGTGATGAGATCAAGACCCGAGTCAAGAGAGACGGTGGCTGAATCGTCAGGTAGGAGATAGGTCGATGCAGATGATGTATGGTAATAGGCGGAGGGATAAGCACTGCGGTATGGTGGAGTACCACGAAAATGTAGATCCACCGAACTTGAGAGGAGACTGGCGTCGCAGCGCGATAAACCTAAGAATCCCTCGGAAGAAGAGCTAGCAGAGGCCTTGGCCAGAATACCTGCTTCCGAAATTGCAGGGCTAAATGATTTGGGATGGTTGGCAAAGATGATGGTTATTGAGTTCCAAAAAAATATCTTGATTTAATTTGGACAAAGCAGCATCCCCAAATTTCAGTAGTCAATGATTCTTAATATTTATATATTCTTGATTTTATCACAGTTCTTCTTTTCCATAGGCTAGTACATCATATGCAATAAAACTTTTTAACTGAGCGACAGTTACAATAGGTTAGATAATAAAAGAACAGCTAGTTATGAATTGATAAAAGTGATGAAATATATTACCTGTAGGATTTTAATAAAATTACAAGACATGGAATATGCAAAATAAACTTGTCTAATAAAAACAAATAGAAAAAAACGTTTTTTTGGAGAGACAAAATGATATTATAATAATAAAGGAAAGTGAATATAAATTCTGGAGTGCTGTTGTGCAATTAATTAAACAGAAAATTGGTTTACTGGGTTCCAAGGACAAATTCGTGATGACCGCTCCATTGGGAGAAAAGCAGAAAGAGTTGATGCCGAATCAAAGGACTCAACAAGTTATTCTGCATGGACTCTGAGAAATAAAGAAATAAAAAATAAGCAAAGATAAGTCGCAAGATTGGGGTATTATTTAAAAATATCTACACAGAATGGCATCATTATTTTCAATGACTAGAGTCAAAAGAAAATAAAGGACCCTTAAAAGGTCTCTGACCTGGCATCCGACGAAGAAGATCGCGAACAAATACGCAGAAATGTACTCTCGTTTCGTCTAATACAATTGGGTCAACAGCCGATGAAGCAGGTGGAGTAGTAGTGAGGCTAGATGTAGGTGTAGCTGCCTGGGGCGCAGGGGGAGGAGGCGGTGGTGGTGGCGGCGGGAGGGGAGCACCAGAAGAGATAGAGCTAGGAGTGCCCTGGTTGGAAGGTGAATTGGTTATATTGGCTGACAAAGCTACTAGTCCTGTCGCTTGAGGTCCTGTTGCTGTTGATGATGCAGCAGCAGGATTATTGCTCACCCCACTATTGGAGGTACCGGCAACTGATGACAACGGAGCCAAAGAAGAACCAGTCACCCCCAGACCTCCGCTTCCGCCGGTAGATGCATTATTTTGTGATGAGCAAGAGGTAGAGCCAGAATTCCCAGAGGCCACAGAGCCATGAAGTCCACCACTAGGGGATCCAGTGATATTGGAGCTGGACATGCAGCTGGGAATGGCTTGACAGCCTGAATCAGTAGGAGGCGTAGAAATTCCACCGGAAATGCCAGAACCAGATGCTCCAGGAGAAGAACAGCTAGAATGAGTTAATATTAAGAGTAAGCAAGTTTTAAAACCACCAGTAGGCTTGGAATAAGAGCTGTATTCAGCATAGGGCTCATAAGGTGATGGGGTACTGATATTTGAATTTTCATACTACGATAGGATTAGGCTTCATGATTCTATTGAGTTTCGTTCAGGCTTGTAGCCCAAAAGACATTATCATCAGAGTGGACTACAGTTTCTACCCTTCCTGAGTCTCATCTGTACCTGGGAAACGAAAGATTATGACATTTTAGCACTACTCTACACTTCCACGGGTGACAGCAAGAAATAGAGCATACGTGACTTTGAATCCAACCATCTTCCACATCATATTTTATGGTGGGATTGTTGATAAATAAATGGAATTCGCCATTACAATAGACTACATTATTTATATTCAGATAGAGTCGCAATAATAAGTCTCAGTGTAGCAAATAAAAAGTTATGATGATTAGATGATTAACATTTAATGAAATAGTTATACCAATAATGCCTTACTTGACACATAAGCCACTCGTGATAATGGTCCCTGTGGAACTGCCGCTCGTAGGGGGCGAAACTCCAAAACTATTGAGCCCAGATACGGTCAACCCAGGCGTTCCAGTGGATAGCCCAACGCCACTGGAGGAAACGGACATAGGAGAACCAGCTGAGCCAGTTCCAACCAGGCCTGGGTTCGAAGAATTAATGCCGGCGGAGAGTCCAGGCAGCAGAGGAGATGCACTAACTACTGAAGTTATTGCGGCAGGTGAACAAGCAACGGCAGAGGCTGAGGCGCTAGCAACAACTGCACCACTATTACACGCTTGTGGTCCAGAAGACAGCCCAGATGGTAAGAAGAGACTGGTTGTAGTAAGGGTAGGCGGTAATGGCGGCGGCACGAGCTGCCCCACTCGTATTAGACCGGAGAGGCCAACAAAGCCGGCCAAACATACGGGATGATCGAGCATACTTTCCAGGTAGACCCGCATGCCATCTAGATATTCGGTTAACTGAGAGACAAGGCGCCCATGCGCAGAGACTACTCCCGATTCGCTGTGGGCAAGAAGCAAAAGAAATAGACGTATAGAGCACAAACTATGCAACTGCTAACAAAAAGAAGTTGCTTGACCTTGTTTTCGCAACTCGGTCATATTGGTAGAAAGACTTAGAAGAACACACCTTGTCCAGAGTCCATTGTATGCATCATTATTTCCAGACCGTGGATGTGGTCTTGTTTCTTTGACGAGTTGTAATATGGTGCTACGAATAGCGAGACTCCTTGATAATGCCGGCGAAACGTC